TTTTGGAGGAACAAATATTTCCTAGTTGGTTTTTAATTTTAGAAATCATTCATTTAAGGTTTTTAAAACGGTTCGTCATACTGCTTCTTCTTAGTATATCCTTTTTACTAACTCAACATTTTACCCAACTTCGCGAGTGAGATTTTTCCCTGGAACAAATTCCATAAAACCTCCCATAACGAGAAAAGGGCCACACAACATACCTAATCCACTAAAAGAAATGAGGTATTAAAACTCGACGAGAGAACCGGTAAAGGATAGACTTATGAAAAGCGCATTAGGAATTCTGATACTTCAAAAAAATTACGATGATGAGAAAAACTAATTAAACAGCTTCTCATCGTTCGAGGTTCTAGGTACCATTTCCAATCCTATTCTTAAAAACATGAAAACACTTTTAGCCCGTTTCTTTGAAGAGGAGAGGAAAAAAGGATTTCAAGACGGCTGATACTGATAACTTTCAAACAGATTTATCTTCACACTCCTAAACAACATAATTAGAACGGAAGAAAAGTCCACTTTCAATCTTAGTCCCATTTTCAGTATAACCGATCTTTCGGTTGACAATCTCCCATCACTCAGCTCGGCGAACTCGAGTTAAGTTTTTACCGTCGACTCCTGATTATAGTATCTGGCTCCTGACAATAGCGGAGCAATTACTAGACAACATGATGAGTCGAACAGAAGACTGGAGACGGAAGCGGGGGCAAGATTGCTCAGTTTGAAGCCCCCCGCCTCGCAAAGGGCGAGGATACCTCTTTTGTTTCACAGAAGTAAAACAAAGAAGACTCAGATTTTTTTCCCCGTCGACAGCTTTGTTCCGCAGAAAGGCAAAATGAAACGGAGAGAAAACAGAAGTCAGGAACTGTAAACTAGACACGAACGGTGGGGCTTCCGCAAATTATGAAAGCTCAAAAAAAGATACTGAACAAATATACGCGTACCTTCATCCCCGATTCGTAAAAAAAGAGTTTAAAATAGCAGGGTGTCAAACATTTTTCTACGAGGATTCTCCGGCTTTTTTTGGAGTCTCCAAAGTTTTTAAACTTAAAACTACAAACTTTTTTCTGATTTTTGTGAATATGAGAAACGAAACGCCTTGCTAGGGGAAACTTTTTACGATAAACCATTTTCAAATCGAAAAATGCAAAGTTGGCGGATTTTCTTCGCATCCGCAGGGGTGCAGAAATTTCTTTGCCTTCCCATTTTCCAAATTGGTCTTCCCGTTTTAAAAACCCCATTCTCCTCAGAAACCTCAAAAAGAGGACTTTATTCTTAAAACTTTGAGCGAAGAAACCGCGTTCTTTTAATCGTGGTCTTGCAAAAAAAAGAGAGATTTTGACGGGTTTTCTTTGGATAAGCCCCGTTTTCGGAGCATTCCCATTTTCGCACGCGACCGATCGCGAACTGCTGGCTGGTGGCGAGGTCGAAAAGCTAGCTTTAGCATCCCTAACGGAATGAGCAAATTATGTTCGAAAATGGATTTCCTCGACTAATCGGTGAATTCTGGCGGATAAAAATAATTTTTTTTTTTTTACTTACGTTTCCATGTTATTCCTAACTTTACAAAAACTTGATACTTGATAGGTGCTTAAATTAGAGGCCATATGCCATTTTACGGTTTTTGTTTTCATTTTATTGTTTTTCGATTTTTGTATATTTCTTTTTGAGGGGGGCGGGGGTAAAATTGACTTAGCATATCAGAATTGATGAAGCGTTGTTTGGATTCATATAAACGCTAAACTTAGCGAAAATTGGATGTGACGAAAAACAAATCTTAGAAATACCAGCGTGTCTACTAAAACAGGCTGGCCAAATATCAGTACTTTTACAGTACTTTTTCAGTACATTTCCAAGAAATTCAGTACTTTTTCAGTACCTCCAATCGACGAAATTCGGCAAATTTCAATAATTTGAATTTCCCGCTCGAATTGCGACAAAAATGACAACAAAATGAAGAAATTCCGGACCTCCTTGCGGAATTCTGCACTTTTTCAGTACTTCCGGACCGCCCTTAAAAAATCAGTACTATTTCTGGACTTGTAGACACCCTGAATACGTGGAGGTTAAGGGGAAAATTGTAGAGGTACCGATTTCATTTCCGAGAAAACTCGACCCAAGCGAGCGACTCGAAACAGATATTCATTCTCACTGCCTTGCTGTAGAGTATACCTATATTGAGAGAGTATGGCCACTGGGCCCCATGGAGAGGCTTAGGACCCAAAAATGGCGGTGCTTTGTTTTTGTTTTTGTGGATGGGAGGGGGGTCATTGCCAACTTTTGACGGTTATCACCAACCGCACTTGCTGCCAACCTCACTATACATCTAAGATAATTTTTCTCAAAAATTGTACACGATTAGCCTTAAAAATATGTAAAGAAGTCGCGATAGTGCATTTGGGTAAACTTCTCGTTACGATAAGCAAAGAAAACTACATTTTGAGTCATTTTGCATTGCATGAATTTATGGCGTCCGCCATTTTTGAGTCCTAAGGGCTCCATTCAGCCTAAGATGGCTGAGCCAATCAGAGGTGGTAACACCAGTGGCCATTCTCTCTCAATATAGGTATTCTACCTCGCTGAGAAAAAACCGCAGTTAGCGCGTTAAGTTTCCTATGGAGATACGCGGTTTCTGCGTGGCGCGGGAGTAAGCGGGTCTACGTGCGACTCCGCTGCTGCACTTTTCAAGCTGGAGATATAAGATTGCAGTGGGGCCACGGTGCAGTTGGATCAATATCACCACCCCCGCCACCGCCACCCCGGGCCACCCGCGGTCCCAGTCATCATCCCTTTCGGCCGGGCGCGGGCCCTGAAGCCTCAAGCGGGGGCACCGGGCCACGGGCCACGCTACCCAGAAACGGCGACACTCCTTCCTAACTCTCGTTTCCTGACTACATTCAATTAATTTCCCACCCAGGAGTAAAAATGGGTCATTTGCGTTGGCTACAGAATCGTGTTTTGATGTTTGATTCTTGTGGATCGGCTAAAAATAATAAGAGCTGTCCAAACAGCAACTCTCTACGTTCAGTGTTAACCGCGACATCGCGTTTTGGAAAACTCGTTTAGTGACGTCATCCACCGCAGAGTTGTCACAGAATTTAGAAAATGAAATCCCCTGACATTCCCCTGATTTCTCTTTCACAATTCGTCGTTTTCCGCACAAAGGAACGTAACTCTATTCCAAGGTTGCAATATTAACTCAAACAATTCAATTTTTTTACAAGAATATGGCTGTAAAATTGCTGTCCAAAACTTCTCTGATTTTTGCATGAGATCCGAAGAAAAATCAGTGAAAATTTCAGTTAAAAATCCTCAAAGTTCTCCTGTTGAAAGAACAATTTGCGAGGGGAAATTTGGCAACATCGGAATGTAGTTACGTTCTTTCGTGAAGGGAACGACGAATTAGGTAAAATTCCCTGACAACTGAGGATATGCCAGATGCTTAAAAAGACACGATTTGAAATCGTTTTTAGGCAACATTTTTGGTTCGAAATGTCAAACCTATTCTAGACAGGAAATAAAGGTGACTTGGCAATTTTCCCCTGACATTTCCAGGTTTCCCCTAACTTTTAAAAGCACTTCGAAGGAACGTTATTTTTCAGTTGTTCTCTTCGATTAAATATAAAATCTTAACATATTCCCTGGCTTTCCCACTTTTTCAATCTCACATACTTTAAGTCTAGCATTCTCAAGCTCAATATGATGTTAAGCTGTTTATGATAAGGCAATCAGTCGGGGGATTAAATGATTGGTGAATGATCTCAGCGTAAAAGTAAAAGTTATCTTTACTTGGGGAATTTTCTAGACTCCCGCTTTCAATCACTTCCCGTGGCTCGAATGGTCAGGGTCACATAACATTTGATCAGATCAATCGCAAATTTTTATTTTCTGAGGTAATTTCATGCACGCTTAATGATATATTCCTAACAGTATAATAAAAATCAAAAGTTTTCGAAAGGACGAAAAAAGAAAATTTTAATCCTTTTATTACCTAGATTGTAGTGTGTTTGGCGATAATTCAAACAAAAAATATGCGAAAACAAAAACGCCCAAGTTGAGGTAATTTTTTAGATTGAGGCAGAGGAATTTTGGTTTGTACTTCGATGGCAGGACTAGAGGGGGAAAAAAAGAGAATTAGATCGTGGTGTTCGATTTTTCCTTTTCTCCTTTTTTCCCCTTCTCTATTCTGCAAGAGAGCAACCCGACTTTAAGACTGCCAATTTTTTCAGGATAGGTATGTTTCGCGAAAGGAGATAAAGGCATAGAAATTTATAACAGTCGGTACGGTGCTCCGTTCATTTGCTTTACAATAGAAATAATTAATGTATGGAAGGAAGATTTGTAATGTTAAAAAGTAAGATTTTTATTTAAAAACTCTCCCACTCTCCTCATTTGGACTTCACTTAGCAATTTGGAAGCAGAATTTCTGGCCAACATGAAAAAACAATTATGCACATAGGGAAACTAATGTTACATACGCTGTTTCTAAACTGGGCCAGAAATTGTAGTTCTGAATTGCAAAATGAAGTCCAGTTGGCAATATCACTTCTGAGCACAACTGTGATCCTGATCCAGACATTTGTAATGATAAAAATTAGGATAAACATTTAAAAACTCCTCTTATTTGGACTTCATTTTGCGATTGGGAACTATAATTTCTGACCCACACGCAGAAACACTTATGTACATAGGGAAACTAATGTTACACACGTTGTTTCTAAACTGGACCAGAGGCCGTAGTTTTAAAGTGCAAAATTAAGTCCATTTGGCTAAATCTTGGAAAAGGATCGATTAACAGGGTGTTCGCAGCGAACACCTTAATAATCGATTCTTTATCATAGGTTTGAATGGCATAGCAATCGATACATCGCAATTCACGCCACGCCACTGGCCGAAAACCTTCATGCACGGGACTTTTCGACTTTATCATAGCAAAATGTGGATTTTTGACACGATAGTGAAAAATTCTGGGGGAAGATACTTCAAGAAATTTTACTTACGAAACAATCCTTGGCTATGCTCCACAGCTTGACGATTCCAATGCAAATGAGAGCAATCTTGCAAAAAAATCCGGGGACTGGTCAAATTTGCGAGACACGCGCGATGACCGGTATTCTCGCGGCGAAAAGCACACGAAGAAACGTGCCGAACGGGCCGAACAGTCGAGCCCGAAAACCGAACAAGTAACAGCAACACGTAAGTCTCCCCGCGGAGAAACACAATGGAATTCCACAACGGGAAAGATAACACAATTTAAGTTACGAACATTAAATATTACTCAATGATACTAAATTAACATACTCGGAGGACAATGAGCGTTTAGAAGCAGAACAACGAGATTAAAACATAAAACACCTCGCTATTCTCGGCCGTGATTGGGCTTGATAACAACCGCTCGGGAAAAATTAATCGATCTCAGAATTATTGCAATACAAATGTTGCAGGAAAAGTATCCGGCAGCTCACTCGAGGATGCGTTTGGCAATAAATTCACATTAGCGAGGATCGAAAAACCGACTTCGAACTGGACTCAATATAACAAGATATACCATAGAACTAGTAATACTGCGATTTAAATAGCTAGGTGAGTAAATTGGATAAATGACCGCTTAGAAAAATATAATTTGATTTCACGCACGTCTTATGTCTTAAGGATTCATATCACGGTCGCGACACATTTTTAGTCACTTATTTAAGGCTGCTTAAGGAAGTGTGTGGAGACGAGCCTTAATTTAAGCATGTAACTGTGTCTGTGGGGGCTTAAAAACTAATTTAGTTCTTCAAAACGCGCTCGGAGGACAGTGTCTGGGTGTGGGGAGGCGTCTTGGGAGTCGTGTCACGAAGAGCGGGATCCGACTGAAACACACAAAAAGAAACAATCATTAGCTTTTTATTATTCACATCGAATCAATGTAAATATGTCGCAGGCGATTAGTCCAGTGCTCCCACTCTATGTCCGTCAGAAGTTCCGGGATCGGAACTTTTTAGTTTCCAATTTCTCCTACTCCATGGCTGTCAAAAGTTGCGGGATTCAATTTGGATTTTTTCAAAAGTTCCAAGAAAGTTCCGGAAAATGCAAAAAATCCGGGTTATCTCGGGAATTTAAAAAGTTCCGGGAAAAATCTAGGAAAATCTCAAAAGTTCCGGAATTCGGAACTAGTTACGGGAAATAGGAGCACTGGACTAGTTAATGTTATACAAATACGTATAGGCAGATAGTCATTTATTGACAGTTAGTGAAGTTTTGTAACTTTATGATGAACTAGGGGGCTACGCCCCCTGGCCGCTACGCGGCCCAACCCCCTGAAGGCGCTCCGCGCCATCAATGGGCCGCTTCGCGGCCCTATTTTACCCTCCTTTCAGTGTTAGTTTTATTTTCCCCCTAAAAAATTACGATATGAGGTATACTTTAATTTCAAACTTTACTTAAAATTACTTTAAAATTAAAAGGACGCGTTTTGGAATGACTGTTTGATGAAGTATTGCAGTAAAACAATGAACAATAATAGTCGGTAATAAATGAGCGCCTCATGAGTCGGGGATCGAACCCACACGGAGTTCAAAGCGGAGGCATTCGACGTCTTAGACGACTCGGNAAGTGTTGAAGATTTAAAAATTCTGTGTTTCATGACTGACTGTAAACTTCAACATGAATGTTCATTCAGGAGCTGAAAACCGTTCAAAATACTATCCTATCATCCAAATGTTTACAAAGATTTCTTCCTTACAATCGATGAATTATTTTCTCTGAGATTAGCAAAAGAATCAGAATTTCAATGCAAGTAAGAATATTTGTGTGTTTGCTTGGGTATTTGATTAAATGCCTGATTTGACGATTGGTCTGCGAAAAATTAGACGTAATAAGCTTTGACCAGGATTTTACAGAAATGGCGAATGATTTAGGATTTACCATCGAATGTTAACGCCTGTGAGTTATTTCAAGAAACTGTATCACTCATTTATGGCATGTCAATGTGATTTCGGACTGTAAACTTTGAGATTATCCAACGATAAAAAGTCTTACTACGCATCACGAGGATTAAATGTTTCCTGCTATCTCAGTTTAGTAAGAATGCGACTAATAGACGGCAAATTAAATTTTCTCAATGCATGTCTTCATCGACATTGCGAGGTTTGTCGTCGGGCTAGCTGTCTATCGATTTTCAGTAAACGGCTGATGAAGTAATTGGTTTTGTGAAAACTTTCTTGGCAAACCGAACAGTCAACACGACATTTGCATGTTTGATGTTGCCAAAAAATACAAATTTATGTCCCCGAAAGCATTTTTAGTCTTATCATTCATTTTTGTTGGACAGATGGACAAGGTCTCCGAGCTGTTAAACAAATGGAGCTGCTTTTGGGAGCTGATTCCAGAAAAAAACTGTGCCTTCGACGCACTGGCGGATCCGGGTGTGGGAGGGGGGACGGAGCACATATTCAGACCTTACTCTGTAGTCGTTTTTTTCTTTATTTTTTTTCTNGGGGGGGGGGGGGTTATGAGGGTCGTTTGTTGGTTACCTGTAAGATATTGATAACGCCGGTCTTTTCTTCTCTGCTACTTTTTGTGAATGAACGGCTTATGCAAGAACACATTTTCGTTGTCATGCATGGGCAATTTTCATCACCTGTATTTCACAAATTTAAGTTTAAACTGCTTAAAAGTCAGTTGGAGCGTTGAATTTTTCTTTAAAAAAAATCCAGAGAAAAACACCCCCCCCCCCAACACAAACACACCCTGTCATGCTGAACAAAAACGCGGTATGAACATTCGGGCGGTCACATTCTCCCGATTAAATAATTATACTAGCAGACAGCTTCACGTATTCTTCTTTGAAATTTCTCTTTACTCCAGGTGAAATTGCGGATGAAATTCTCTCCAAAATTCATGAGTTTCTAAAAAAAATTGTGTTTTATCAAAGGAAAATTACGCGACGTCCGACGGTACATACGGCGTTCTTCCTTAGCACGTCAGATCGATCTCTTCTCTAGCGAGGTGCGAGGCAGTAGCGTGTCGTGCTTTGCGATAAATCGATTGATCTGCCGTTCATATCCATGGAAAAGGATCGATTATCAAGGTGTTCGCAACGAACACTTTGATAATCGATTCCAGCTTCAAATGGAGAAATATCAATAATCGATCCTTCACGCCACGCCACTGGTGTGACGCCTCCTATCATCAAACCCCTGTATCCGCTGTGACACTGCGTTGGTTCACCGTGTCCTCCTTAAAATGTAACCCTAAATAACCCCCTCCCCCTTTACAACCTTATCCTCTGGTCCATCCAAGGCGAGGAGAGTACACGCAGTCTCCGATCGTTCAACCCGCCGCACCTGCTCGCGAAGGCATCTCGTGAATCGAAGAAGCAGCGGAAACCGCGGGAAGACGCGGGGACGACGGAGAAGGTCGCGCGACGCGGTCGCAGACAGCGTGGCTAGGCGTCGCGACGCCTCGCGGAAAAGACTGCGAACCGCACGTTCAGTTTATTTTACAATCGCGCGGTGCATACGTGCTGCTCGCGCCGGGCGCCTGCCGGGCCCAAGGCTGGCCCGGTCCCCGCTCTGGACTCCGGCGCACGGTGGATCAAATCAATAGGAGAGGTCGGACAAAATTTGGAAACTTTAAACGCCTTTAACTCCGTCTATAAAAAACTTAGAGGTTCTAAAAGTGGTTCCATTGGTTTTCTCGAGAAATTTTCTTCTCAAAGCACCCCTTGTAATTCAAAATGTGACGAAATTAACATTAAAATTTGTGAGTTTTTATTAAACATTTCATGTCCGAGCTCTCTGATTGACTCGATCCACTGTGCGACGCCGGGTGGCGCTTGGTTGATAAGCTGGAGCCGGCCGGCTGCATCTAGAGGGCATCGCTCGCCGGCTGACACCCGGTTTTAGTCACATTCCGAGACACGTTTCGGTGGAAATGGATTCGGTCGACAGGAATCGATCTTAAAATAAAAATGTGAAGCGATCGACGTAAACCGGTCGGCACCGAATCGATCGAAAGATGATTAGAAAACCTGGTGTCAAATTGATCGACATAAATCGATTGAAAAATTATTGTAAAACCAATTCAATCGACACGAATCGATCGAAAAATGATTAAAACACCCGGTGCGAATTCGATCGATTCACGAATTGGCCGATCGATTCACAAAGTTGTCCATCGATTCACGGGATTTGCGATCAATTCACGGTCGTCGATAGGACCACATTCATCGGTTCATGTTTTTATTTTTCGATCGATTCATGTCACTCGAATCGGCCCAGGTTTTTTCATAATTTGTCGATCGTATATATGTCGATGGGTTCACGTTTTTATTTTCCGATCCATGCATGTCGACCGAATTCATCCTATAAGTACTCTAATCCATACCTTTCACGAATTTCAAGTTGGGTCGCCAATGTTTTCCAATTTGAAAGCCGAAAACCACTGCTTCGGAAAATATTTTACCCTGAATTAGAAGGAATTCAGTTTAAAATTTAAGAGATGATACGCGCTGGTGTAACAAAATTTCAAGTTTCCACGAGACATCTGAAAAAGCTCACTCAAGTATTTTGATTGAAAGGGTGTAGGTGTGCGCTGTGCCCTTTCCGTCTCTGAGTAGATTTGGCTGATTTCGACTGTAAACCGGTGAGTGTAATGCAGAGAAGGTAAGGCGGATCTCTTGACATTATTATTCAAATAGAATAACAGCATTCCTAACCGCTCTTATTAGCATGCAGAAGTGAAAACGTGTAAATTTTACACAACGATAAACAGATGAAAAGTTTAGATCAAAACTAGTAATGACATGACAGGTTCCTAAGAGGGTAGGCGGTTAGCCAGAGAACAGTCGATTCAAAGTGATGTAGATGCGGAAAACACGTACTTGTTTTCAGATCATCTATCTTCTATATATTTAATATCCTAAGGCCTTTTTTGGCCTCCAACAGTTTGTGCTAATTCGATCTCGGAAACTACTGGACCGATTTTCCTCGGATTTGTTTTAAATGAAAGCTCTTACGCTGTAGACGTGCCAACATTTCTTGGTTTTTCGATTTGCGCGACCGACGTTACAAAATTTACCTCGATTTGATAACGACATATTTGCATTTTTGACGCTGGACAGTTTGTGCTAATTCGATCTCAGAAACTACTCGACCGATTTTCCTCGGATTTGTTTTAAATGAACATAGGGTCTAGATGTGCCAAGACCCCTTCGTTTTTCGATTTGCGCGACCGAAGTTGCAAAATTTACCTCGATTTGATAACGACATATTTGCGTTTTTGACGCTGGACGAGTCATATGGTTGGGGGACCTCCCACCCTCTGATTTTCCGTTTCCCTCTCCACGTAAACCCATCCCTACCTGCTCACAACACGTGTCACCCTTCTACCCTAGCATGGGTCCTACGGCAGTTTCACTCATGTCGGGGGTCGGCTCATGTCTTCTTCCAAGAGAATTGGTGATTTATCTTCACCCTTTCGCACCGTTACATTTTCAAAAAGTGTTCTGATTTTCTTTTCCAGGAGTGTTATTTATTTTTCAAGGTTGTTTCTTTTTCTAAAAGTAGGTAATTTTTAGTTTCCTATTCTTTGTTTTTGAATTTATCATTTTGCCTCCATCAGGAAGTCCTCTAAGCACTGGTAGTAGCAAAATTTGGCTCGCGAAGCGAGCCAACAGTTACTCGCGGAGCGAGTAACTGGGGGTCCAGGGGGCTTGCCCCCGGCTAGCGGCGCAAGCGAGCGTAGCGAGCTGAAGCAGCTAGTAAAATAGTAATGTACCTTTTCTCAATGTGATTTTGAAGGCACAATAGGAGAAAGAGAGCCCAGAACAATGCGTCCGTAACCTTGACCCAATACATTAATGCAATCA